CACTGAATCCTTAAGATTCTGAGAACACGCCTAGGTACAATGCAAGAAGAATTTGTGGGTGGAGCAAGAGAGGTGAGCTGTGTGTGCAAGTGAAGTCCAGAGGACACCAGGATAACCTTTTATTGCTTGATGATTCTGTTACAGCTGTCCCCGGGCATGCAAATGTTGCTCTCTAGATTTGTCTCTGAGCTGGAGAAGGAAAATTTTGAAAGTGCTTTCAAATAGCCTTCACTATTTAAAGGAGCCCCAGCTTTACTGAGATACAATTCATATGCCATACCATAGATGCTTTCATTTAAAGTGTACTATTCAGTATGTTTTAGTATGTTTATTGTATGGTGCAACCATCACTATAATCTACTATTAGAACATTTCTCTCCCTCCCAGATAAATAAAGCAAAAGGCATTTCAGAAGCACACTAGCATTTGGAACTCTTTCACAGGGGTTGGATCTGGACTTGCAAATACTCAGTGTTTTGGTAGTGCCTAAGGCATTTGACTGCTATCCAGAAGGCTGGCAGTTCAAATCCACTAGCCACTCCTTGGAAGGCAGACTGGACAATCCACTTCTGTACAGATAACACCTCCAAAATCCAAGGAGGGATCGCTATCAGTCAAACAGACTCAATGGCAGTGAGTTTTTGTTGTTTTTTTTTTATCTTTTATATGAAGAAGTTTGCTTCACTTTCTTACTTTTGTACTTAATAAGTCTTAATGTGTATGCTGCCCAGTTTTCAGGGGCAGCATTTCCTGCCTAACCACCACAGTACAGCTTTTTTCCCCTGGGTTAACTGATTTGCTCATCCCAGCAAGCAATTCATATAAATCGTATTTGTTGGATGGAGTTGTTTTTGCATTTTTCTTAATTAGAAGATACCTCCTTGACATATTTATTTTTTTTCTTTAACGGTAGCTGTAAAGTTTCAGGTAAGTTTTCATCAAAAGAAAACGGCACAACTAGAAGAGCAAAACTTCAGAATGACATTAATAGGATTTTCATCTTCAAAATACCTTAAGGGAAAATAAATAAATAAATAAAGATGGTTTGCTTAGAACAGTCTTGTGTTCTGCCCAGACAGTTTACTCAGACCTAATTACCCAGCCATTCACCTCTGAATCTTAAATGACCACCCACTGTTTCCACCCCTAGACAGTTACATCATTCTTTAAAAATCACTTGTGGAATATAATGAATTTCTGGGAAGTGTAAAAACTGATGACAAATATCATCAGATGATATTTACTGTTAGTTTAAAAAGGTCATCTGCAATGAGGGAGCAAACCAACTCAGGGGCTGCAAACTAAAAGAGGAAAGCTGTGTTCTGACCTCAGCACCACCACTACCCCAAGCCTGTGTCTTTTCTGCAGACCCTACAACTCTGTATTCCTAACTCCTAAAACTGACAGCAGTCAAGTGGTCTGTCCTGCCATGGAAGGCTTGCAACACTCCTCCCAGGCTGGCTGCGATGATCAGGCTTCCCAAATGACTGGGCACCTTGATCGTGCTACCACTGGGGCCATGGGTCTAATTAAGCTAAGAAACACCTTTAATTAGCATGGCTATATTGAATCATCTTATGAGTTGGGAAGGTGAGTATGGACTTAAACCAAATTTAACTCATTCATGCCTCATCATTTTGATGTCCATCAGATATACTTCAAATCTAACATTTTTCTTTTCAAACCATGACAGCACAATTCTTCAGAAGATAAAATCAACAGTATCAATGGTATTTAATGTGGAAACGCACATTATAATGTTTCACTTATTAGCTTTACAGGTGGCACTCCCTTAAACAAACACATCTTCGGTACAGCTTTTAATAGTTTTACATTACTATTTGATTCTGCCTGAGCTTTTAAAGCAGGACATTCATAATCATTTTCAGTGTTTAAAAGATTCTACTAAAAGAATTTTAATTACAGCATTTACTATATATTGTTGTTGTTGTTATGTGCCATCCATTTTCAGTGTTTAAAAGATTCTACTAAAAGAATTTTAATTACAGGATTTACTATATATAGTGTGTGTGTGGGTGTGTGTGTGTGTGTATACACACACATATATATTCCTATACATATTCTAAGCAGATCATCTTTATCATTAATTTTTTAAGGTGCTTTTAGGATGAAAATCCTATTAGTGTGATTTTAAAGGTTTTCAATTTCTGTTCTTCAAGTTGTGTCATCTTTTAATGAAAACTTCTTTGAAAAGTTTTTTAATTAGCGAGAATCTCTAAAGTTACATGGGAAATCGCATAAGTGTATGTTATGTGTTTTGTTGTGGGAAAATGGTCCATAAATTGTCATTTGATTTTCAAAATGGTCCATGATCACAAAGCCACTCTCATGTAAAAACAAAAAAAAGTTAAGAACTTTTTTTCTAGAGTTGTACTAATACCTAGCCACTAACCACTTGAGGCTACTGAGCACTTGAAATGTGGCAAGTACAAAATTCAGACGTGCTTCTGGATTTTGAAGAACTAATATGAGAAAAGAATTAAACTAGTATCAGTAATTTGTACTTTGATGGCATATTTAAATAATGTTTGGAAGTAAACCAAAAACCAAAACCAAACTTGCTGCGACAAAGTTGATTCCAACTCATGCGACTGCCATTGGGTTTCCATGACTGTAAATCTTTACAGAAACAGACTGCCTCTTTCTTTCACGGAGTGACTGGTGGGTTTGAACTGCCAAACTTCTGATTAGCAGCCAAATGCCTTAATCACTGTACAACCTTTGGGAATTAAAGAAGTATGTAATAAAGTATAAAATTAGCATTAATTTAACCTCTTTCTTTTTGCTTTTGTCAATGTGGCTACTAGGAAATTTAAAATTACACATGTACTTCACACTATATTCCTACTGAACGGTACTGGTATGGGAAAAATTAACTTTAGGAGAATCTTATGGCAAAAATTTTCAAAACAGCTCCAAAACTGTATTCTAAGAGAGGCTGGAGCAAAAATGTCAAAATATGTGTAAACTTAACAGGGTTAAAAGCATAGATTTAAACTACTTTTATCCAAATAACCCAGCATAATTTCATTTACAGAATCATGAGTTTGAAAGAAGTCTGAAGTCAATTCTGAGTCACTACCCTCCAAATTTGCAGATAATTCACATGGTGCATTTTAATAAGAATCTTTGAATAATAAATTACTGGAAGCAAATTTTTCTCTAATCACATCAATAAAATGACTTATTAAAAACGCCAAGTAAAGTAATGGAAAACTCTCATAAAAAAAAAAAATCTCAAGAAAAATGAGAACTGCCAATCATTAAATGTATACATGTCTGAACTTTCACATAAATCTAGTTAGTCATCACCAATCCTTGTGCTGGGAGCTCTGGTAGCATAGTGCCTAAGGCATCTGACTGCTAACCAGAAGCTGGCAGTTCAAAGCCACCAACCACTCCTGGGAAGAAAGATGGGGCAATCTACCTCTGTAGTGATACTGCCTCAGAAACCCAAGGAGGGGTCACTATGAGTCAGATCCCACTGGATGGCAATTTTTCTTTCTTTTTTTTTTAATCCTTATGCTTTGTATTTTTCATCCTCACTTTACAGATGTGGAGACAAATTTTAAAACGTCACCCTTTGAGTCCAAAAGTCTGTCTTGCTCTCTGCTATATACCTGGAGACTTGAACACTGTCTGGCACATAATGGATGTTCAATTAATGGCCATTGATTGGTAAGTGGCAGTTTCCTGATTGCAGCAGGTTTTCTAGATTCAGAGTGTCTGATCACACCATCCTTGCTTTTCCCAATACCATGTATGCTGAGAGAAGTGTACATAATTAATTTATTGCTAATTCTCACCACAAAACAATGGGACATAGTATTTTTACTCTCTCTCGGTACAATCTATTTATTTTTGGAAAGCAATCTAATATGAAATCATGCTTCCCAATTCCAAAATACTACAAGTGCCAGCTTGACTAGCTATCACTCCTATTTGGTAGGATTGCCAGTATAGAAATGCGAGCTGCGTTCGAGAGTTCATCCAGGAATCTGCATGCAGGGGCGGAACTCCTGTAACTCCAATTCCTGTTCTATTCAACTGGTGAGCCCGAGATGAGCTTGGTGCGTCGTCTCGCACCCTGTCGCAAGCCCGGACGAGCTCACACTCACATACCAAAGGAAGGTGCGCCTCCCGCCTCTCCCGCTGCGTAACTTGAAGGTCTGTGAGGACGTCACATTCGCAGCGAAGCCCCGGACAATACCTCGTCCGCACGCCCAAAAGGGTAAAGCAAAGCAAACACACTTCATTCCCAGTCTTGCCCAGATACGATCTCTGCTATTTACCGTCTTGTACCACCAGCTTGCGAATGCCATGGCGACAACCGGTTCGCTCCCGAGCCGCGCGAAGAAGGACCCTGCGAGGGCGCGGGTGCGGCGCGGGGTGGCGGGCTCACGGGTTAACACTCTTGACAGTGCCGTACCTTTCTGGCACAGATCTCCACTTATTCCGCCGCTGCCAGGTGGGCTGGCACCGGGGCGGGGCCTGTGGTTGCCCCCGCCCCTTCCAGCCTGGCCCCGCCCCGCCTGGTTTAGCTCTTGGCTGGTGGAGGAAGGTAGGTTGTTTCTCCAAGCAGCCACGCCTAGCGGTACGGATTTTTCGCGGAAGACGGGATTCTGATGTCCAGTTAGACGACCCTACCCACTCTAGGGGGCCCGAAAGAAGTTTATTCCTCCTTTATTCCCACCTCATTTCACCCAAATTTCACCAGCCAACTCTTCCCGCCGCAGGCCCACTTGGCTGTCCCGCGCCACGCCCATAGCACTTGGCTCAAGCTCGGGAATCCTAGGCAACTTCCCGCTAACTGCCCCGCGGCGGGCCATGAGCCCCGAGCCCCTCCACTCCCGGGAGAAGGCGCACAGGGCACCAGGCCAAGCAGGCCCGGCACCGCCCAAGGAAGGCGGCCCCGTTTATCTCTAGGGTCGGGATTCCCCGGCACCCAGCCCTGCAGCTCCCGGAGGAGCGCCACTCACCTCCTGGGTGTGGCGGGTCGCCGCAGCACGCCGGGGCCGCGGGGAAGCGGCGGGCTTCTGGCCGGGCTGGGACATGGCGAGGTGGCGGTGGGCGCAGCCTCCAAGAGGGTGCAGCGGAGACTGGAAGGGAGGCTTGGGCGGGGAGCGCTGGGAGGGGGGAGTGGAGCGGAGGGGCAGGCGAGAGCGCGCGTGAGGCAGCTTTTCCGACCCAGCCCGAGCCCTCGGAGGGGTTCGCCCTTTTTGCCCAGGGCCCTCCCCTTCCTGCCCGCGGGGGCCTGCGGGCTCTGCAGTAGCTGATGGCCTAAAACTTAAAACCCTTTGCCCCGAGTCTTCACTCAGTGACCTTCTCGCACTCTTAACTGCTCGGCCCCTGGCCCCTCATAAGTCAGACAGAGGAGGGGCTGGAGGTCTTCGGGTTCCTCCTTCAACTTGCCCAGACTTATCTTGCGGTTGTGCAACCGGAGAGCAGCGGGACCCGGGCGTGGCCAGTCTACGCCGCAAACCTTCTCCCTAAGAATTTCGAGAATTAGACACTTTGTCCGCAATGTACTCTGCTTTAGCTAAGAGAAAGACCCAAATCTGGCCCAAGCCTGGACTGTCTAGATAAGGAAGCGGATAGTAAAAGCATAGGTTTGCGAGTCTGTGTGTGTGTATGAGAGAGGGTACCTGTGTATTTTATCATTTTATTTTGTTTTTGGCAATTTAGAAAAGGCCAATACGTTTTACGGCAAGAAGGTTACAATCCAAATCAGAGAACAGTGACAAACTGAAATTCCTGAAGTCTTTATGAGTCTTGCTCCAGTTTTGTTTCTGAGGGTAGATTGCTTTTGTCTTTGGGTCATCCTAAACAGCACTTCCTGGTTTGGGGCTAGAAGTGAAATTTAACACGTTCAACTGGAAAATACTATTGGGTAGAGATCGTCAGCCTGCGGTTGCTACTGGTTTATCTGACCTGACAGAAAAACCTGTAACGCTGCAATGGCGTTGTCATTTTGGGAGTGGGAGTTACTTCTCCATGCAGTATTGAGTTTTAGACAGTGGAAGAGAGAGAGGCCAGAATAAGGAAAGCTTTTTTTTTTTTTTTTTTTTTAATGCATTTTATTGCAGTGTAATTTATGTACAGTGAAATACACAAAACTAAAGTGACATGGGTCAAAGCTTTTTTTTTTTTTTTTGCAGTGTTCCCTCCCCTCGCCTCCCACCCCCTGGCAACCAACAAAGAAAGTTTCCCTCCATATATAAACCTTTCATTGACCCATACTATATTTGTCCTTCTGTGATTGACTTATTTCACTCATCATAATGTCCTCCAAGTTCATCCATATTACGTGGTGTTTTGCAGGCTCTACATTATTCTTTAGTGCTGAATAGCATTCCATTATGTGAATGTACCACAGTTTGGTCATCCACTCTTCCACTATAAATCTTACAGATAAGTGCCTTGCCAGAATGCAATTATGAGCAAATATGAATTTGTTGCTGTCATTTTTGTAATGTGCTTTTTTGTGGTGTTGATTTCTTTGTTCCACATAATTTTCTATGCTGAGCTCATTTTGTTTATGAATCATGTTATCACTTCCTTCATTGCTATTGTTTTAATATTTGCTGAATATTATGCTGGTCCACTTTTTTGATGTGAAGGTCTATCATTTTTCTTTGAGGTTACCCTGTGATTTATAGTTTCCTTCCCAAGTTTAGAACAGTCCATCCTATCTTGTAGTTGTCTTGACTTCTCTACCATCTACAAGTTCTGTAACGACACAGTTTTTTTCCCCTCTTTTTTGGTTTGTAGTTGCCTTATTTGTCAATTGATGTCTCTGGTTCCCTGTTTACAATCTTGCAAGCTTCTTTACTCTAGATACTTCCATAGCTGGGTTGGTTTCTGTGTTATATCATCATGTGTATTAATGGTCAGTTGTTGGCTGTTGTTGCTTCTCTGTCCAAAGGCTCCCTTTAGCATCTCTTGTAAGGTTGGTCTGTTTTTAACAAATTTCCTTAATTTCTGCTTACCCGGAAATGTCCTGATTTCACCATCATATTTGAGGGACAGTTTTACTGGGTACATAATTCTTGGTTGGAAATTTTGCTCTTTCAGTGTTTTATATATACCATCCCATTGTCTTCTTGCCTACATGGTTTCTGTTGAGAAATCTGAGCTTAGTCTTGTTGGTTGCCCCTTGTCGGTAACTTTTCATTTTTCCCATGCTGTTCTCATGATTTTTTCTTTGTCTTTGGTTTTGGTAAGTTTGATGATGATATATCTGGTGATTTTCTTTTTGGGTCTATCCTATTTAGGGTTTGTTGGACTTCCTGAATAGATATATTCTTATCTTTCATCATACCAGGAAAATTATCTTCCAACAAATCTTTGACAATTTTCTCTGTAGTTTCATTTGTCTCTTCCTGTTCTGGAATTCCGATTGTTGTTGTTATGTGCCGTCGAGTCAGACTCGACTCATAGCGACCCCTCCTTGGGTTTCTGAGACAGTATCATTACGGGAGTAGATTGACCACCTTTCTTCTGAGGAACGGCTGGTGGGTTTGAACAGCCAGCCTTCTGGTTAACAGTCAAGTGCCTTTAGGCACTACACTACCAGAGCTCCTGACACATAGGTTATTCCTTTTGGTGGTATCCCACATGAACCTTAGGCTTTCTTTATTTTGTTTTGATCTTTTTTCTGATTTATCCCTTTCCAAAGGAGTGTTCTTTGCTATTCATAAGGTTTTCCCTGGCCAATTCTTTCAGAAGTGGACGGCCTCTTCTTTCTTCCTAGTCTGTCTCAGTCTATAAGCTGGGCTGTTACCTGTGCACCAGGTGCATCTCTCTGGGTTTTAAACACCAGAGGCTCAGCCTCAAAACCCATGTCTATATGTCACCA